GAGAGAGAGAGAGAGAGAGAGAGAGAGAGAGACTGACAATTGCTGTATATTTATTTAAGTGATGAAAATAAGTTTTGAAACATTTTATTAATGTAGTTTTGTCTTTTTTATTCTCTCTCTCTCTCTCTCTCTCTCTCTCTCTCAATCTTTTCCTACATCTAAACAAATATGTGTTGTTAAGAAACTGATAGTTATAGTCAGCACATGATATCTTCTAACACGATATAACTAATAAAACTTATTAATACAAATAATGGCTTTTATCGGTGTATGTATTTCACTATCATTTATAACTCGTGAAGATGTCTCACAAAAATAACAATCAACTAGTTTAATGTCAATGCTATTTAACTTTAATAGACCCCTAAATACTCGCGACCAGTCTAGAGTACAATGCGATCAATGATCATGATGTTTATCATTGATATTTAAGGGGGATGAGAGGGGTGTGAATGGTATGTACAAAGTGTATATGTGTGGCCACAGAGTTTATCCATATGTTATGTGTGTTTCCCACTGTCCGTGACTTGAGATATAACTCTCGGTATTACTCGTTATGTGTATTATTGTTATTAATGGGAGTCAATGATACACATGTGTATAGTTTATAAGTTGTTAACAGTATAGCGCTGTACACTAACTGACTCACTCCCTCCCATCCCTGTCCCTACCAGTCTCTCTCCCGCACCTCCCCGTGTATACAAGTCTCTCTCTCTCTCAACTCTCTTATATAAACCGTTGAAAATGATGGTGAAAGAGTCAAAAATAAATTTTTATCAAAACTATTATCTACCAAGTCAGTTTTCTCTCTCTCTCTCTCTCTCTCTCTCTCTCTCTCTTTCTCAACCCATCATAAGTGGTGATAACAAACCTCGAGATAACAGTCCCTTTAATTTCAATTGATATGTCATTCATACAGTGTATTGTAGTGTACAGTATATACAGTTAACTGTACGTAAAGTGTACAAAAACTTTTGCCATTTAAATGAATAATCTTTTGTTAAATCTTGTTATAAACAACACTTTATTTGGTAGTACTGTATATATAAAGGCCTTTTCAGTTCAAATCCAGACATATTTGGGTAAAATATTTTATGTATGAAATAAAAGTGGAGTAAAAATGTTATGATAACAGCAATTATAGCCAAAAAGAAATTGATTGAAAAGTAATAATGATATCTGTTTTCAATGCTCTTATCAGTGAATAAAAGTTTATGTATTATAATATGGATATAAAAATGTATTATAAAAACTAATTTTTGTTGTAATTATAATAAATAATGAAAACCCATAGCAATGTTGATATGATATTTGTTTTGTAATGTCTATGAAATACTACTGTATATCTTATGATGAGTTTTCAAACAATAATAATAATGATTGCAATTAATTATAATAGTGTTTAAAGTATTTTATTAAATATCATAACAAACCGTGATTTCATTTCAATGGACTTTCAATTTTTGTCAGTGTCAGTGACCCTCATGTTTGCGATTCGTAATTAAAGTAGTTGCCTTATACTTCATTTAAATATAAAACACCGAGTTATTTAATTATTGACTATGTTTACTAACTAATAACTTAATTTAGTAGTATTTTAATAATCTTATGATGAGTTTTCAAACAATAATAATAATGATTGCAATTAATTATAATAGTGTTTAAAGTATTTTATTAAATATCATAACAAACCGTGATTTCATTTCAATGGACTTTCAATTTTTGTCAGTGTTTTTAAATACATAATCAATATTTTTGCAAAACAAATGTTTAATAATTTATTTTTCCACACATTTTATACCAAAGTCTACGAGAGATATAACCGATCGATAAGTTTGTGATTATATATAAAAAGTAAAATTTCTTTTTTGTTTTTAATTATTATTTTTAAAAGTAAAAAAAGTTATAATAAAAAAATGAATGAAAATAATAATAATAACATCACTTATAACAAGCATATGCTCTTTGAATCGCTATTATACTCAGCAATCAGTCAATTGGACACCGATTTAACAGCAAAAAAGTCATTAATCAGACAAATCTATGGTCTCATCGATGATCACCACAACAACAACGACTACAATGCGGCCAAAAACGGGCCAAACAGTGGCCACAACGTCGGGCACCGACTAAACAGCGCCGACAACTCCGAGTCACTGATCGCCAAATACGAGTCAATGAACACAATATACGAAAAGTGTTTTTTAAAACATTTCAACAATGATTTAACGCCTCATATTAGCCCTCATAGGGGCGTCCGTATGGGCACAACACCCCCACCAACACCACCAACACCACCATCACCTCCACCCCCGGCGCCGGACCTGTCGGCCATCGTCGAGCTGGTCATAGACTACGCCACTAAAGGCCAGTATAACGTGGCTATACCTCTGTGTAAAGAGGCGTTGACTGGCGTACAGCACCGGGTGGTGATGGAGGGCGAGGGGGCGGAGGGGGAGGGGTCGACAACAGACAAGGAGGACGCGTGTCTATTGACCGAAATACTAGGCCTAATGCATTTGGACCGACAGGAGTACACCGAGAGTGAGCCGTATCTGCGCCAGGCGTTGGACGCCCGGCACCGGGCGTGCGGTTCCCACGACCGGCACGTGATTAAACTGAAGACCCATTTGTCGCACGTGTTGTTCAAACAGCAGCGCTATAAGGAGTCGGAACTGATGGCCAAACAAGTGTTGACCGCTATCTATGACAACGAGACTACCGGTGGTGTTGATGGCGACCATAGGGTGACCAGCATTTACGACAAGTCGTGCGTCTGGGAAATGGCCGAAGAGTTGGAAGTGTTTGGCGCCAAAGACTATAGTTTGGTGTCGGAGGGCGACGAACACCGGCGCTGGCATCACATGCTGGACCAGTACGCGGACACCCGGCGCCTGCTTCACAACCTGTCCTCCATTTACGCCCAAAACGATAAGACAGTGGCCGCCGAAGTCATTGCCGACGTTATACAAGACCTACAGCAAGATATCTATGAGATTAACCAAGATTTTTATCCCAAGATTAAGCGACACATTAGGAGGAGTAGTGTTAGACACTCACCGCCCGGTGCTGTGACGCTGAGCACCGGGTGTCAGACCGATGTGACTGATCTCGATGTTAGCGGCGATAGTTTTGATGACAATTGTAGTAATAATAGTAGTAATGATAGTAATAGTGGTAAACATATAAGTTTCAAAACTATACAAAAGATTATTGCGTTAGGCATTCATGGGGTTAAATAGGGGGAGGTGTTAGTTGTGACCCCCTTATTAATTGTGTCTAGTTGTGTTTATATTGTGGTATTTTATCATGTGTTTACATATCATATCATAGAGACATACATTATATCCAATGGTAATGTGTTTTGTTTTTTGTGTTTATAATTATGACATCAATTATTGTATTGATTGATTGATTGCTAAAAATATTTATTTAAACTATTTATGAAAGTATATAATTAATTGAATGGCTATTTTGTGTATTGCATGTATAACGTGCTAATTTATTGCCCATTTTTATATATTTATATGTAATTTTTATTATTGTGATTTTGTACCAAGAGATTTTAAGTGTTTTAAATAGTTGATTAATAATTATTAAAACTGTAATAATAAATGATTATTGCGAAAATAACATCACTGTTTTACGAGGTAATTTACAAGTGGATAGAGTTAAACCTCTGTATTTTATTTTAATTTTAGATATAAATTATAATAAATATAAAGTAAAATAATTTAAAGTTACTTTTTAATTATAATATAATTTGATTAACAAATAATATAATTTTAAATTAATTTATAAATACCTTTTATTTTAATTAAAATTAGTTAATATTGCTATTGAATTATCTGTATATGAATTTACGACTCAAATGATAGTGATTTGTATTCTACAGGTGCTGCCAATGTTATTATATTATAATTATAATTATGTTTATAATACTGTACATTATACATTGACAACAATGTTCATAATGATTGAAGTAATTGTATTTAAACAAAATACATGGTCCATAAATATATTGAGCTTATTGTTTGACATAGATGTATTTTATATTAATATAAATTACCATCATCAAAGTTGCTAACAATAGGTGTTATGATATTATTTGTACCAATATTTGCACAGCAATAGGCAATCAATAATAAATCAAATATTTTGTATTATATTTAATATAAAAGCAAAACTAAAATATGACAATAAATTTTATATATATTTCAATATTTCAGCAAAATTTTAAAATAAATGTATTTTATATAAAAGTTTAGCAAAAATCACGAAAACAATTCATAAAGTGTCTAAAAATACATCAAAAAGCCAACATGAATTCACAGCAAATAGTGTATGTAATTGTAATAAGTCTGGCCATAATTGAAACAGGTATTTATTTTAAAAATAAACTTTGTCATTTATTATCAAACTAACTATAATAATTAATATATAAATAGCCCATGGTCAGTTAGCGTGCACGGCTACCGACGTGAATCTATGCCGTAATAGTGTACCCCCGGGGCCAACGGGTGTTTTCAGCTATCTTAGTTGTCAGCGTCCGTCTAACCGTATGCGCACCTGTATCTACACGTGCAACGCCGTGCCCTGCGATGTGACCTGTGCCAATACGCTCGATTATCAGCGTGGTGAATGTATTTACGATGTGACCAGGACCACCACTTCGTGCATGTGCTTTCGTCAATAAATACCCGGGTTATTATTACATACCTAAATGTTATTATATACCTGGATGTTATACCATACCTGAATTTTATCTAAATCGTTTTCAATAATTTGTTTTTTAAGTTTAAATGTTAGTATTTATTTTGACAGTTATTGTTTTTTAAAATAATTATTTGTTTTAGTACCGTGTTTATTTTATAAATGTTTATTATAAAGATAAATGTATGTTTTTGGTATTTGTTTGAGTTTTAATTCATAGCTCAATTTACAGAGTATTATCAAAGGTATATTTTATTTGTTAAACAAACTACAAACAATTATTATAATACAAATTTATTTTTTTATTAAGCTTTATAATATTATTATGAATAAAATTAAAATAGATTGACTAGTTCATTAAAAACACATAGTTAAAATTTACATTGCATTACACACAATTTACTCACTATACATTACACTCTCATTATTATCAATGCCATAAATACTTTTAATGTTGCCTTTGGATCGGCGGTACTGTATTAATAATGCGGCAAAAAGCAACAAGGTCAATAGCAGGTACAATAGCTCTAGGTACAAAAATATTGCCGGATGCGGTTTGATCAGTGGCCCGATGACAAGGGGTGTGATCAGCATTAATAATGATGAGCAAAATGAAAATATCGAGCTCACTCTGTCGGTCAGGCCAATGGCCTCTTCGGAAAATGCAAAGTAGGCCGGCCTCATGGCTGAGTAACCTATGCCTATGGTAAAAATAGCAATTATATCATGTTGGAATAAATAATAGTTGTTCAATCTAATTAATATTGCTGGCCAGTAATTATTTTTGAAATATAAATTTATATAAGTTATATAAGTTATGCTAAATCTGCATATAACTCTATAAATACTGTAAGTAAGTATTTGACATTGATGTAATATTATTTTTTAAATACCCGAATTTAAAAATACATAGTATTTATTATTATAAGCAATTTATCAAGCTTGATTCTTACCAATAAGAGCATTGCCCGTCCATATCATAGTCTCATTGTTCTGTCCGAAATACAGTACAGCCATCGACACGCAAAGTATGCATAAACTGTAGCCAATCATAACCTGTGGCCGGAGTTTTGTTTGACATAGATGTATTTTATATTAATATAAATTACCATCATCAAAGTTGCTAACAATAGGTGTTATGATATTATTTGTACCAATATTTGCACAGCAATAGGCAATCAATAATAAATCAAATATATTGTATTATATTTAATATAAAAGCAAAACTAAAATATGACAATAAATTTTAAATATATTTCAATATTTCAGCAAAATCTCAAAATAAATGTATTTTATATAACAGTTAAGCAAAAATCACGAAAACAATTCATAAAGTGTCTAAAAATACATCAAAAAGCCAACATGAATTCACAGCAAATAGTGTATGTAATTGTAATAAGTCTGGCCATAATTGAGACAGGTATTTATTAAAAAAATTAACTATGTCATTTAATATTAAACTAACCATAATAATTCACATATAAATAGCCCATGGTCAGTTAGCGTGTACGGCTACCGACGTGAATCTATGCCGTAATAGTGTACCTCCGGGTCCGACGGGTGTTTTCAGCTATCTCAGTTGTCAGCGTCCGTCTAACCGTATGCGCACCTGTATCTACACGTGCAACGCCGTGCCCTGCGATGTGACCTGTGCCAATACGCTTGATTATCAGCGTGGTGAATGTATTTACGATGTGACCAGAACCACCACTTCATGCATGTGCTTTCGTCAATAAACACACGGGTTATTATTACATACCTGAATGTTATTACATACCTGGATTTTATTTAAATTGTTTCAAATTATTTATTTTTTAAGTTTAAATTTTAGTATTTATTTTGACAGTTATTGTTTTTATATAATAATTATTTGTGTTAGTACCTTGTTTATTTTATAAATGTTTATTGTAAAGGTAAATGTATGTTTTTGGTATTTGTTTGAGTTTTAATTCGTAGCTCAATTTACAGAGTATTATCAAAGGTATATTTTATTTGTTAAACAAATTACAAACAAGCAATTATTATAATACAAACAAAAAATTGTTATTTATTAAGTTTTGTGATATTACTATGAATAAAATTAAAATAGATTGACTAGTTCATTAAAAAAACACATCGTTAAAAGTTTACACAACATTCACTCACTATACATAACACTCTCATTATTATCAATGCCATAAATACTTTTAATGTTGCCTTTGGATCGGCGGTACTGTATTAATAATGCGGCAAAAAGCAACAAGGTCAACAGCAGGTACAATAGCTCTAGGTACAAAAATATTGCCGGATGCGGTTTGATCAGTGGCCCGATGACAAGGGGTGTGATCAGCATTAATAATGATGAGCAAAATGAAAATATCGAGCTCACTCTGTCGGTCAGCCCAATGGCCTCCTCGGAAAATGCAAAGTAGGCCGGCCTCATGGCCGAGTAACCTATGCCTATGGTAAAAATAGCAATTATATCATGTTGGGATAAATAATAGTTGTCTAATCTAATTAATATTGCTGACCTGTAATTATTTATATATAAAGCTATATAAGTTATGCTAAACATGTAAAGTTATGTTAAACTTTATATAAATTTAAAAATATTTAAGTATTTTTATTCGACATTGATGTAATATTATTTTTTTAAATACCTGAGTTTAAAAATACATAGTATTTATTATTTTCAACAATTTATCTAGTAACTAAGAATGGTTATTCTCGTAACGGGCAGGTATAGTATCAGAGTAACAAGACAGGCTTTATGTCATGTCGGTAGCTGTGCGTTTCATACGTATTTGACATCGGTTAGTATTGGACACCGGCCTCATTTATGGCCACTACGGCCGCAACTAAACGGCCGGCGGTGAATGTGGCGGCCATTAGCGAGAGTACAGTAGTGGCCGTTTTGGCCGACAGTATGTGTTTGTACTGATAGTATGTGGACGAGTAGGTAAAGTGCATCAACTCGAAGCCCGAGTACGTGATGAATGTGAGTGACATGATTATGATCAAGATTATTCGGTCCGATTTGGACCCCCGGAGCTCAACAACCACTACCGGGTCGTCCGAGTGGACACTCCCGATGTCCGATGTGGTGTTCGCGGGTTGCGGCGCTCGGTATCGCTTAACTATGAACAGTATTAGTAGTGCTATTGGCGCTGTAATAAGAAATATCGTTAGGTGATTTTTATTTAATTTTTTGTTTGTTTGATTATGGTAAAAAAATTTATTATTAATATTAATTTATTACCAATCACTCCCAATACGGCAATGATAGCGAAGGGTGGTTTCAGTCTCGACCCCCTGTCCACCGAGTAATTAATATCGGTTGTGGTGATTAGGATTAACGCTGTGGTGGTGTCGCCCAGCGCTTGGGTTGTAGTAGTGTCACCATCTGTGCCCTCACAGGCCATATCTCCCAACACGTATTGGCCGACAATGAGTGGGCCAACAATGGAGCCCAAGCCGTACATACACTGCAATATCTGCAATAGTGGTCCGCTATTGTGGGCCCACATCTCTACCATCCATATGCTGGAGGCCGAGTCCCAGGCGCCGGCGCCCACACCACCCACAGCGCTGGCCCCATACAGCCACCATATAGACGGACACCACGGATATAGACCCCCAAATATGGCCATCATGGATACCATTACCACGATGGTCAGTTGCCGGTTGATGTATTTGTATAGAAAGCCAGCTGGGTGTTAATTAATGAGGTTAGTATGGTGAGTTTTTAAACTGGTTCAAATATGGTTAGTATAATCTAGTTGTTTACATAGCGAACCGACCAAAAAGCCCACACCGCTGGCCGTTTGGCTCAGGGATATCAGTGTTGTAGTGGTGCGGAGTAAGTATTGCAAATCGACCATGGTGGCACCGAATACTGTTTGTGCCATACCCTGTTGGTATAATTTAATAAATGCTTATTTTTTGTATAAAGGTTAATTTTAGGTCTGCAACTTACATAACACATTTGGTTGAACACAATGCATACGGTGTACACAATAATCACCTTGTTTTTTGCACAATAGTCTAGTATTTTAGACTTTGTGCTAATATTTTCATCATGATTTATATACATTTTTGTATAAATTAATTAAACTATTCATTTACACATATTAATATTAATAATATTACGATATTATTATTTCTAACTAATTGTTTATGTTTTTGTTCACAAGTCATTGTTTTTTATATGTAATTCACATGAGGGTAGAAATTCCTGATTTCTATAGACATAATCAATTATTGATTAAAGCAATTTCATAAATGTAAAAACATTTAAGTTTATTTAACCTTTATATTGTTGTGTTATCAATAAATATCCATGCTTAGTAAATAGTGTTATTTATTAAATCCTGTTTAACTCCTGTTATTTAATATAAGTAGGAACGATCCTGATAACTATCCATTCATTTAGCAATTATTCATAAATAAAGTTTGTTTTTAGAGGGAGGTATGGGGATCAGGTTTTGTGTATGATGCATTTTCATTAATTATTTAACTGGTTATATTAAGTCTATAATATACTTTAGATAAAATATTAACTTGGTACAAAAAATACAATAATTTTTTAAAAATGACATAAGTGATAGATTTTAGAACAAACATAATAAGGTAATAGATTAATAAAGTTTTTAAGTTTTAAAATAACAAAATTAATTATTTTGTATATCGTTAAGTCACTTGATAACTTTTTAAATAATAATTTGAACAATTAGTTATTACGGGAATTTAATTAAATAAATACATTATGATGTTTGCTAGTTTATCAGAAATGTGCCAGAAAATTATTAAAATCAATGTTTAAATAATTACAAATGTATAAGCTTATAATCTTTATTAATTTTAATGATAAAATAATTTTGCTATTTTATCAAGTACTAATTGAGAAATTCTCAATGAGAATACAATATTAACAATATTTGATAAACCTGTAACTTTTACTTACATTTTGCACCAATAATAAAATTCATACAAGATGCTTTTATTGATAAACTATATTGCTAATTTTGTCAAATTATAATATTGTATAATTAATGAAAATAAACAAAATAAAAGTGTT